TGGGTCATAGTGTTGTGGAAAAATATCCCCAAAGCTCCAAAACCCAGTCCAATGAAAAACCAAGCAGTAACTCAGAGAGAAGGAGAATTCAAATTTATTACACATGATCCCAGAAGAGCTAGTGCTCTGAAGATCTGGGCAGTGGGCTCAGTTGAAATGTTGCTTTTACTCAAGCTAATTGGTCATTTTTAACTCAAACCTTTACAAATGACTGGAGTTGCTATGGAGACTACAAGTAGTAACATTGGTAAGGTCGGGGAGTTGTCAGGGTTGCCGACAGATACAAAGTGTTAGAGAAAATGGGAGCTGCTAGGGTACAAACAGTTACATTAGTGGAGCAAAGGCACAAATAGTTACATTTGCAAGTCGAGCAAAGTGCAAGGGACCTTTTGCAGGAGCCTTTGCATGCAGTAAGCTTATTTGCAGAAAGCAAGCATATTTACGGAAGCAGGAAACATTAGTTTTTAATTAAATTCCCCAAATTTCCTCTTCAGTAGCTGGGCAGTGGCATCCTGGGTATGTTATTGGGACTGGACACGATCCTCACTTTAGGGTGGAAATCATGGCGGCCCTCGAGTTGGGCGTGGAGGTGCAACGCAAAGCCAAGTAGAGCAGTGCAGAGATCGCCAACTAGACGCAAGCCTCCCTGGGTATTGGAGCGATCCATAAGCCTTGCTCACACAAGGGCATCTCCCAGGGACTTTCCACAGAGTTCAGCATCATTCCACCTTTGTCACCAATGGTGTTGTAAATAGGGGAGTAAGTGCCCCTCTGCAACTGGGCAGCAGAAATGACCCTTGTACAGGCATATGAAATTTAAGAATTTATTATATTCACAGGTCCTAGAGGAGGAGGGCCAGATGGAGATGCAGGGTCCAAATGGGAGGAGCGCCCAGGGAGGCCAGAGAAAGACAGTGTCAGATATAGTCACACAGAGGTCAAGAAGGAGAGCTTGTGGCAGGGGCCAGCCTTATCACACTCTGGTGCATTTGGTCACCTAGTGCTGCTCACAGCCTGTTTGTGGGGATGTTGAAGCATCAGGAAAATTTGAAGTTTTAAAAATTTTCCATACTCTGTATGTGTGTGTGTGTGTGTGTGTGTGTGTGTGTGTGTGTGTGTGTGTGGTGTTTTGTCTCAGAGACTACATTGTGCTTCGGGTGTCTATGATAGTATGTCTCCATAAAGTGTTAAGGGTGAAACTGAAAACTTCTGTCTTCTTTCCCTTTTGTCTGTGGGTGTAGGGTTCCTTTTATTGAGTCTGTAACATTCCATCTGTAGTGAATATCTGTGGCCAGTGCAAAGGTTAAACTTCATCTCCTTCTTAGAGAAATTGAAGTTGTGTTAAATAGAAAAGTGATAAAAAGTTTGTACAAATTGGAGAGCAG